TTTTAATCTAAGTTTGTTGCCTTGTTTATAAAAAGAACTTATCAAACAAATCATTAATTGATTATATTAGCAACTCTCTATCTTTGATTTCCTCTATCAATGACACACGCATATCATATCAAAGTATAAATCCTTCTCCATAGTTTGAAGAATACTTGCATAGATCCAACGTCATTTTAAAAAAATTAATTAAGATAAGAATTTAATAGTATTATAAAAATTATATAAGAGAATAGTTTTAATCTATTTTATTTATTAAAAAAATGATAAAAAATTATTTGAATTGTACTTGAAGAAATATAACAAATGATAGCTTTAATCATTATATACCCAAAAAAAAAAAATTATATCTGTGGGAAAAAATGGTCGAATACAAATAAAGTCATGGACATTGAATTAAATCATATGGGCTCTAAATTGATAGTATAATATAACAAATCAACTAAAATAACATAGAGATATTAACAAACATGTACTACTGCCATATCATCTTTGTATTATATTCATTAATTTCATATATTAAATGAAAGTTTTATTCGTCTCGATAAGGACCAAGAAAACAAATTTGATAAGAAATTGATTTTAAACTTAATTATTGAAAAAACAAAAATTTCAAAGAGAGAATTTAGAGATGAGATTGGAGAAATACTATAATGAATGACAGCCTTAAAAAAAAAAATGATCTACTGCAATTTATTTTTAATAACTAATAGAAAGAATATCAAATTATTATCTTTTATAAATATAGTGAAGAAAATTAATTTTGTGAGATTTTTGTGCTGCCTTTTCCCATGTAGCCTTTATTATTTCATTATTAATACTCTTCTCATTTAGAGCGAACCAATTTCATTATTAATACTTTTCTCATTCAGAGTCAATAATTTTTTTTAAAATCTTTATCACTTGGTAGATAATAACGAATAATAAAAATTATAAAAAAAAGGTTAAGAATTTAATAGGAGATAAGAAGTTATAGATAAAGACATTTTATACGATAAAAAATTTAAAATAAAAAAAGATAATATGTGATAGGAGAAAAAAAATATGAGCAAATGAAAATACAGATTTAGATATATATGTTTTTGATAGATATATAGATTAACAAATCATATCTTTATCTAAATTTTATTATTTTAATTTTTTTGTAAATCAATTATTTAATCTTTATCTTTATCTGTAGGCCATGGAATTAATTTTTATAAATTATTTATCAATTCTTATATGTTTATTTATCTATAAGTCATGAAATTATTTTTTATCTATAAGTCATGAAATTATTTTTTATCTATAAGTCATGAAATTATTTTTTATCTATAAGTCATGAAATTATTTTTTATCTATAAGTCATGAAATTATTTTTTATCTATAAGTCATGAAATTATTTTTTATCTATAAGTCATGAAATTATTTTTTATCTATAAGTCATGAAATTATTTTTTATCTATAAGTCATGAAATTATT